CCTGGACAACTTGTTAGGATACATTTGATCATGGACTCCATCTACCAGCAAAAAAGATATTAAAATCAACAATGATGCTCTAGAGAACTTAAATCCGTGGTTGGACTTCCACAGAACAATGATTCCAAAGCCACCTCAAAATCACACAAAATGTGGTATGACGCTAAGATCCAAGGTGGCCTTGATTGGCAATCCCAGTCCCCTGCCCAAACCCCATAAGAAAAACTGTGGATTGGCTGATTAGAGAGAGTCCACAAGCGTGGACCTTGGATCTAAGATCTGAAGAGATTCAGTTGAAGAGTGGTTCAGACCCAGCCAACTGTGTTTACAACCTCAATACTAATATAGGGAAACTCAAGAGCTGTTATCTTGGCAAAGGGAGGTTTCCAAAGTATTGAATCAAGGGATGCCAATAATTGTGGCACACATATATTAAGAGAAATGTGTTTCATTATAAGAATTTATTTTTCCTTTCAGTTATTTTACTTTAAATAAATGTTCGATTTTTTTTTGTGAATATTTTGAATGACAGACCAGGAGGATAAACAATGAAGAAATTTTTTTTTCACAGCCAGTTTTGCTAATTTACCAAGGGTGCCAATATTAGTGGAGGGCACTCCTGTATCGTATCTGTCCCTAACTATATAAACAATTAAAAATCATGCCACTGGCTTTAGCCAGTACAAAATATATTACAGGCAGGAAGTTATATTGGAAAGTCATGAGGGGTTTGTTTTGCAATTTTAGGTTCAATTTTTGCTATTTGTAAGGGCCCTTTAGGTTCTGACCGTTAAAAAACGCGTGAACACGTATTTTTGTTGTTATGTTTATTATTAAACATGGGCCCTATAGGACTAACAAAACATGTTTCCGACACTTGCAAAATTGTTTCAGCTAGATGTTTTTCTTTTTACAAAATATGTGTTTCACAATTTATTAAACAGTGTAGAAAGCTGCAGTCTAATTTTTGTTTTTTATGTCAATGTTTGCTTATCCTGGATGAGCAGGAAAAACAAATAGACATAGAGAAACACAGAGCACCACGTCAATGTAAAACATTTAGGGCTGGTTTCCCAGACACAAATTAAGAATGAACATTTTAATTGAAAGTTTTTAGTCAAAGACCAGTCTGACAAATTGTTAATCTCTAATCAACTGACAGCTTAGATCTTAGCTAGCTACAAAATATATTCTAAATGTGCATCATTTCAGGCTTCAGACCAAGGGAAATTAGCGCATCACTGGTTTTAAATTAAACAGTGGTGGAACAAGTACCCAATTGTCATACTTGAGTAAATGTGAAGATGCCTTAATAGAAAATGACTCAAGTAGAAGTGAAAGTCCCCCAGTAAAATACTACTTGAGTAAAAGTATTTGGTTGAAATATACTCAATTATCAAAGTAAAATGTAATTGCAAAAATTTTAACTTAAAGTATCAAAAGTAAAAGTATAAATCATTTAAAACTCATTATTAAGCAAACCAGAAGACATCATTTTCTTGTTTTATTTTAATTTACGGATAACTAGGGGCACGCTCCAACACTGACATCATTTACAAATGAAGCATGTTTTTAGTGAGTCATCAGATCAGAGGCAGTAGGGATGACCAGGGATGTTCTCTTGATAAGTGTGTGAATCATATAATTTCCTGTCCTGCTAAGCATTCAAATGTAAAGAGTACTTTTGGGTGTCAGGGAAATGTATGGAGTAAAAGTACAATATTTATTTAGGAATGTAGTGAAGTAAAAGTTGTCCAAAATATAATAGTACAGTATAGTACAGATATGCAAAAAAAACGAACTTAAGTAGTACTTTCAAGTATTTTATTAAGTGGTAAATTGTTTGGATTAGTGTTAATCTCGTCAAAAAAAATAGGTGACTAAATATTCACCAAACACCTATTTTCACGGGGAATTACCAAGACCATAGCCTAACTGGCTAAATATAACAAGAACAAACTATAGGCTGAAATATTTTTCATTTCAATTTACTAAAACCAGTTTTTGGAGAGATTGAGAGCTTTTCCGTGTCTACGCAGCGCCGTTCTGTTCAGCAGAACGCCACAGCCTACATCAGCTGGTGAGTTGCAGGTGAGCAAGAGTTGAGGGTGGGCAGAAAGACAGACAGGCTCCAACTCCCATATAGGCTACACATCGCGCAGGTGACTCGTGCAGTTGAACTCTCTCTTTGCCTGGTTAAGAAACACATGCTGGGTTTACTCAATTTAAAACAATAGCAGCATTGGTTTAAATAGTGATGCAACAGTCTAGCTATGTTTCTATCCCTTGAGTGTAGATGTGGGCTGTCTTTTAATTTCTAGTCTCGCTCAAACCCTCTCACTTTCCCCACTGCATTTCATAGCCAGGTCGGTATAGCCAATGTAGCCAAGTCTCCCTCTTTTCCTCAGAGAAGACGGCTTGGTTCTAGCCCTTACGTTAAAAAGATATGACCCATAATACCGGCGCTACGTTTTTTTTCTTTCTATTGTGCATTGGCAGGCCTCATTTTAAAAGCGGGCCTAAAACTAGCCTACTTGCGGGCCGGACTGTTAACCATTAAGTTTAGGCTACACCTTGTTTCAGTCATGTTACCTCATTAGCTAGCTATAGGTAACATCCTGGGTCGATTCAACATGATGAAACGTTTTGCAATGTACAGATAGAATATGCTATGTAGAACAAACATGCCTCTGGGATATGGAATAAAGTTGCTCTATTCATGGGATTTCTATCTGCAACAATTTGAGAAATTTTGTAACTTATTCTGCAACTCAGTATTTAGGAAGGTTTCTTAATGTTTTGTACACTCAGTGTATATTCTTTATATGTTTTTTCATATTTTTGCTGTTGGAAGAGTATAAGTATGGAGGGAAAGGGGATGTACGTTTGTGCACATGGAAGTCATGATTTTTGTTCACTATAGGTTAATATCATTTGACAATAACTAGACTAAATCATTATTCAAATGACAAAAATGTGACTTTATGATATTTTATTCAAATGACTAGACTACACTAAAAAAAAAAGTGGCAAAATGACACTGGTTTGGATAGGAAGAAACACTGTGCTGCTCTATTCATTGACTTATCTAAAGCGTTCGACACTGTCAACCACTCTTTGCTAATTCCCAAAAGGTTGTCTGAAATTGCCTGGATCAGGCATCATGTTTGACTACTAAAGATAACGTTAGTAGTATTGTTAGCTATAGACCGGGGCCATTCTAGCATAGGTTTAGTCGCCCTCTAAAACTATTTTAGTAAGTGCTTTTTATTAACACATTGGCCAACCTTGTTTTCCATGAAAAGTTGTGTTCTCTCTCTCGTGAGGCAGAAACCAGGCAGGCAGGACAGGAAGGTTGTCACTCTGTAGGCTGTACCTAGCAGACCACTGTGACAAGTGAATCCACCTGTCGCAGCGAGCGTGGGGGTAAACTTGTGAAATCCCAGGGACAGGGTTGTATTCACTGACGAAACAGGGAATGTTGGCTGAAATTGGAGGACTTGTATTCACTTGACAAAATAGAGGAATGTTGGCTGAAATTGTAGGAACCCTTACACCAGGGAACCAAAAAGTGTTCGACCTGGAACCAAAAAAAGGGTTTTACCTAGAACCAAAAATGGTTCTCCTATGGGAACAGCCGAAGAACCCTTTTGGAACTGTTTTTTTCTAAGAGTGTATACAAACAAATTCATAGAGCTACCATCCTGTCATTTCTTTCCTAACCGTCACCATCACATCAGGCTTTTACAGTTTTTTCCTCGATCGCTAAGACACTTTCAATGAAACTTTGAATGACAGATCTACATCATAACCTGAGCACAACAGTATTATTTTTCGTAAAATTGTAAGTAATTTCTCATTGCTTTCACACAAAATGCAAATGTTTGGCAAAACTGTAAACACAAACTCTCTACAAAAGTGGCAAAATTCAGTTGAGTAAATCATGTCAAATAAAATATAAACACTTAGTCACAGCTAATACAAATAACTCTTCTGCATGTGTGCAAAACTTATTTGCCCAATTGTTCAATCAGCAATCAATCCTTATTCATGCAACTAAAGAGGTCGCTCAGCTCTGAATTGCTGTTTGCAAGAATGGACCAAGTAGGAGGCCGAGGGCAAGGACAATGGAGAGGTAGAGGGGGCCCATAGAGGAAGATGGGTTCAGATGTGTGGAGGTGGAACGTTTATGATTACCGTCCACATGACCAATGTCCCTCCTAGACACAATTAATGCCGGTTTGTACGGCAATCACTGAAGAGGACTGCCAAGCGTGGATACACCATGCAAGGAGATTCTTTCCTCGCTGCATTGCAAGGGAAAACATTCAGTGTGATGTTGATGAAAACATGTGGCCTGATCGACAAGAACGAATGGACTGAATGTGGTGTATACTGTATTGGTGTTTTTTTTTTTACATTGCTTTGTTTTTGCCATGATTTGTTAGCTTGGTGTATTTTATTTTTATTATCTGTATACACTGTACAGCATCATTGCATTTGTAAAGGACAACATGGATTAAGGTCAAATAAAGCCTTTTTGTTTCTGGATTTTAATGCGCTTGAGTGACATTCTTATTGCATTGGTCATCTTTGGTCAAATCATTTTAGGACAAAAGAATATAGCCCATGATGTGATAATATGTTTACTTGTCTTTTATGGTCATACTATAATTATAGTATCAACAGATGTAAAAGAGGGTTAACCATGTTAGGGTATATTGATAGTTGTAGTTACTATTTATTGGGCCATTGTGTAACGACTGATTTGAAATAACTTTTCATTAGATAAACAAGTTTTGTTTTGATGGAGGTAGTTGATTTTGTGTCATGCATTTGAAATGTGTCATTTTGGCCAACGTGTTTCAGTTTGGGGCTACATGTTAATTGTTTAGAAAAAGTTCATTCTGTTTGGTCAAATTTTCTCAAATGTTATTAGAGAAAACGTATGATATTTAAGTCAATGCGTTGATATTGAGTCTCTCTTTCTCTCCACAGTACTCTGTGCAGCCCAGCATTCAGCCCAGACTGAGACTCTGCAGGTGAAAGGCATCGTGGGAAAGTTTCTCTCTTTTCCAGAGAGGGTGTTGAAGTATGGCACTTTACTTTATAGAGACCTTGGCAATATTGCACATGTGTACCCTGGTAAACAAAGTAATACAAACCTTGAGAGAGATTTAAAAAACCGCCTTCACTGGAACAATGTTACTGGATTCTTCACTTTGACAGACCTACAAATAGAAGATTCTGGGGGTTTATACTTTGGAGAATGCAGATGAAGAGATCAGACATCACATTCAGCTGACTGTGTACTGTAAGTGTGTGTTGTAAATTACAAAATCATTAATGCGGCAATCAGCAGTACCAAACAATACTAAAGCGGTCGCTTTATTGGTTTGGTAAAAAGCTGAGGGATGGAGCTGGAGAAATGTAACCCACTCTCAAATTCATTGACAGAGCTATGGATGCAAAGACTGATCAACCATTATATAAAAAGTATAGTTGTAAACCATGTTTTGAGACTATAGTGTTTGTTTACAATTTATTTGTTTACAAACACTGGAGTAAAACAAGCTGATGGGTTCTCTGACGGGGACTAAGCTCATGAGGCATTTATAAGTTATATTCTTCAAGAATCAATGGGTCCATATCATTAATGTATAAGTCCAAAAATGGATGTAGCAACTGTTCTTTGCCACTTTAAAGAAGTTCCATTTCACAAATTCTCATTTATTCATTATTTGTCTTCCAGATGTTCTGTCCCAAACCTCAGGTGACGGTCCATGACAACAGCTCTTGTAGCATGGTGTGTTCTGTGGAGAACGGGAGAGAGGTGACCCTGTCCTGGTACAGAGGAGGGGAGATACTCAACCAGAGCAGCAGCCCTGACCTCAACATCACCCTCTCTCTACCACTCAAGGTGGATGAACAGAACAGAGACTCTTACAGATGTGAGGCTGCCAACCCAGTCAGCAAGGAGACCACTGTTGTTCCAAATTCCTGTATAGAGAGTGATCACGCCAAGGTGGCAGGTACAAAAAAACATGTGCAGTAGCAATGTTAAATTGCTGATATCCAGACAACACCAAATTCAATATGAAACAATAAGTATGGTAGAGCTCATTTTATGAAATGCAATGTTTTAATAAAAATGTGTTTTCTCTCTTTTTACTTTAGATGGTGATGGGAGGACTCGAGGTTGTCTTATTATTGCTGTAATCTGCGTTTTGTTTGCCTCAGGACTTGTTGGACTTGCAATCTATCTTAAGAACAGGAGAAACGGACACTCACGTGCAGGTATTCATCTTTTAGCGGGGTGAGGTAATTCTCCTTGTCAAAGTCAAAATATGTTGTGCACAACCTTTTTCAATTATCAAGGATAGTGTTTTGGAAAAGGAAGGAAATGTTTGCCTGAACAATGGATGCAGGTCAAATGAAGTGGCATATCTTCCACACTTCCTCTGATTGGTCAGACAGTTTAATTATCTCAAACCACCTCTAAATGTTGAAAAAGCAGAAGGCACATACACACACAAGCACATTCTGACAATCATTACTGTATAGCTTCTCTGGCGCCAAAAAGACCGCTAGAACAGACACAGGTACCCATTGTAACATGAGTCCTTAGTGTTTGCAGAACCTGTCTTGGGTTGAGCATTTGTGCATATCTGTCAGTTACTCCCACCCACACTGTATATTTCATTTCCTTTATTTGCCTTTATAGATTCACCTGAAAGAAAGCAAGATGACATTCAGTACGCAGAGATAACTCACATTAAACCAGCAGATAACCAGGTTAGTAATAATGCTACAGGCTGATAAAGATACGAGACGTAATACAGCAGCTTTGTTACAACTATAGCCTTTAGCTCTGTGCCAGTAGGTTAATGTGGTCTTGAGTTGCACAGACAACCTGAGTTTAATAACCGGCCTGATGTCATTGCAACCAGTTTTGCCCATATGAAATGGTCGTTTTGCACAATGCGATGCCACCCTGCATATATTTTTTGCTTTCCTACCACCCCCCCCCCCCCCCCCCCCCCCCCCCCCTCCTCTTTGCTTGTCCCTCTCAATCCTTCCTCCCTCCCTCTCCCTGTCTAGGAGGAGCGAACAAGTATACAAGGACTGGAGGCGCGTCGAGACAACCCTAACCTTACATTGGTTTATGATACACTCCAGTTACATCGCATGGCTGCCAGCGAGGATGTTAACACTGCATGAAGGAGCAAAACAGGAAGGTTCTGAGAGGGTGACATGATCATTCACATCCAAGAGAAGGCGTTACATCCTAAAGAGGATGTTAAGACAAAATTATAGTAAATATTAATCTAGAAAACATAATGGAGGCACAGTTGTTACTGGAGAAAATTCCCATTTAACCATTGCGATGTTATCATTTCAGACTTCCTTTGTTGGTCATTCTCACAGTCTTTTGTTGAATTGGAGCCTTGATGAGATTCACTGATACAGACAAATTCAATAGCTATGCCTAGGGTTATTAGTAGGATGATGCCTCTTTTCAATTGCCCATTGTCCCAATTTATAGGTTAAAACAAATGGAACCTATCTTTTAATCAAATTCACTAGTGTGTTTGCTATGCTAATGCTGGGCCAAAGCTTCTTTTCAGTATTGTCTGTTCTGTTGTTTTAAATGTAGGTGCCTCCCCTGTATCTTTTTATAGCTGGTCATTGTTTAGCTTGCCATTGGATAGCAGCAGTGTACATAAAAAGCATATGTTTGGTGAGATCAAGCCACATACTACTTAGAAGCAATGGCTGTTAGGCTATGTTGGAAAACAAAAAGTCCATAGGTTGATTTTTTTTTCCTTTCACCATGTAGATTCTATTGAAACATTTCTGAGGGGTAGATCTTGATTTAACTTTTGACTCATAAAGTGATCTTTTGTGACATTTTACTCATTTATTTTCACAATGTGAATTATTATTAAGTGTAGTTCAGATCATGCTTTGATAACAACTGTGTGCATGCATTTTGAATGTACGAAATTAACAGTTTAGTTTATTATGATGGACCATTTATTGCTTGTCCTTATCTACACAGTATGTAGCTCATTATCTCTTAAGAATACAATCACACCCTCCTGCAGACACTCCTTCTATTAGAGCATTTTGTGCTCCAACTACGTTAGCCCACATATATAACTGTGACAAAATCTACTGACACCATAGTGAGTTGTTGCACTGGAGGCTATTTCATTTTTATACATTTGTATTTCAGAGTAGTTACTGAGACTGAATATTAAGATAATATAATTCACATTTCAATATTCTAAAATAAGCTTATTACTTATTCAAACTGATCAAGTGTACTGAGCTTTTTTGTTGTTGTACTGAGCTTCAATATATTAAGTCAGACTTACCCATACATTCAATACATTTCCTAATGTTAAATGGTCGTCAATCCCCCATACATGCTTGAAAAATATACTTACCTTATCACAACCCAAAATATGATTTCAGTTTACTCCATTGTTTATATTTTTGTTGTCATTTGAGTTTTTGTAAACAATGTATTGCTACAACATACCTGTGAAAACTGTCAGTCCTTGCATCCATAGCTGCATTCAAGAGTTTGAGATTGGAACAATTTCTCCAGAGACACACAACCTCCAGATTCTGGTTTTAAAGTTTAAACTAGATACTGTGTGTGTATGTATTGATATGTGTGCCTTTTTTATTGATGTAGTTCTGTCCTTGAGCTGTTCTTTTCTATTAATGTTCTATATTATGTCATGTTTTGTGTGGACCCCAGGAACAGTAGCTGCTGATTTTGCAAAAGCTAATTGGGATCCTAATAAAATACCAAATACCAAATGTAGCCTACTTCTAGGGTCAAACTAGGAGGGACCACTGTAATTGTTTGGTGGTTTTCAAGTGTGTTACTCTATTTGAGTTTAAGTGTATTTGGGACGTTTTGTCCAGTTACTTTTAATGCCAGGCAGCTGTACATTTCTAATTTGAAAAGAATGATGACTAATCCTATTAAACTTCAAGCAAACAATGTTTTTCTTCTAATGTATTTTCTCCATCTAGTGGTTGAATGGTTTTATATTTCAGCATACTGTATACTGTACTGTACATACTACACTATTTTGTACTCAAATCAAATTTTATTGGCCACATGCGCCGAATACAACAGGTGCAGACATTACAGTGAAATGCTTACTTACAGCCCTTAACCAACAGTGCATTTATTTTTAACAAAAAGGTAAAAATAAAACAACAAAAAAAGTGTTGAGAAAAAAAGAGCAGAAGTAAAATAAAGTGACAGTAGGGAGGCTATATATACAGGGGGGTACCGGTGCAGAGTCAATGTGCGGGGGCACCGGCTAGTTGAGGTAGTTGAAGTAATATGTACATGTGGGCAGAGTTAAAGTGACTATGCATAAATAATTAACAGAGTAGCAGCAGCGTAAAAGGATGGGGTGGTGGGGTAGTGCAAATAGTCCAGGTAGCGATGATTAGCTGTTCAGGAGTCTAATGGCTTGGGGGTAGAAGCTTTTGAGAAGTCTTTTGGACCTAGACTTGGCACTCCGGTACCGCTTGCCGTGCGGTAGCAGAGAGAACAGTCTATGACTAGGGTGGCTGGAGTCTGATAATTTTGAGGGCCTTCCTCTGACACCGCAAGGTATAGAGGTCCTGGATGGCAGGAAGCTTGGCCTCAGTGATATACTGGGCCGTACGCACTACCCTCTGTAGTGCCTTGCGGTCGGAGGCCAAGCAGTTGCCATACCAGGCGGTGATGCAACCAGTCAGGATGCTCTCGATGGTGCAGCTGTAGAATTTTTTTGAGGATCTGAGGACCCATGCCAAATCTTTTCAGTCTCCTGAGGGGGAATAGGCTTTGTCGTGCCCTCTTCACGACTGTCTTGGTGTGTTTGGACCATGATAGTTCGTTGGTGATGTGTACACCAAGGAACTTGAAGCTCTCAACCTGTTCCACTACAGCCCCGTCAATGAGAATGGGGGCGTGCTCAGTCCTCTTTTTTTTTCCGGTAGTCCACAATCATCTCCTTTGTCTTGGTCACATTGAGGGAGAGGTTGTTATCCTGGCACCACACAGCCAGGTCTCTGACCTCCTCCCTATAGGCTGTCTCATCGTTGTCGGTGATCAGGCCTACCACTGTTGTGTCGTCGGCAAACTTAATGATGGTGTTGGAGTCGTGCCTGGCCATGCAGTCATGGGTGAACAGGGAGTACAGGAGGGGACTGAGCACGCACCCCTGAGGGGCCCCCGTGTTGAGGATCAGTGTGGCAGATGTGTTGTTACCTACCCTTACCACCTGGGGGCGGCCCGTCAGGAAGTCCAGGATCCAGTTGCAGAAGGAGGTGTTTAGTCCCAGGATCCTTAGCTTAGTGATGAGCTTTGAGGGCACTATGGTGTTGAATGCTGAACTGTAGTCAATGAATAGCATTCTCACGTAGGTGTTCCTCTTGTCCAGGTGGGAAAGGGCAGTGTGGGAGTGCAATAGAGATTGCATCATCTGTGGATCTGTTGGGGCGGTATGCAAATTGGAGTGGGTCTAGGGTTTCTGGGATAATGCTGTTGATGTGAGCCATGACCAGCCTTTCAAAGCACTTCATGGCTACAGACGTCAGTGCTACGGATCGGTAGTCATTTAGGCAGGTTCTTAGAGTCCTTGGGCACGGGGACTATGGTGGTCTGCTTGAAACATGTTGGTATTACAGACTCAGTCGGGCACATGTTGAAAATGTCAGTGAAGACACTTGCCAGTTGGTCAGCACATGCTCGGAGTACACGTCCTGGTAATCCGTCTGGCCCTGCGGCCTTGTGAATGTTGACCTGCTTAAAAGTCTTACTCACATCGGCTACGGAGAGCGTGATCACATAGTCATCCGGAACAGCTGGTGCTCTCATGCATGCTTCTGTGTTGCTTGCCTCGAACCGAGCATAGAAGTGGTTTAGCTCGTCTGGAAGTCTTGTGTCACTGGGCAGCTCGCGGCTGTGCTTCCCTTTGTAGTCTGTAATAGTTTTCAAGCCCTGCCACATCCGACGAGCATCAGAGCCAGTGTAGTACGATTCAATCTTAGTCCTGTATTGACTCTTTGCCTGTTTGATGGTTCGTCAGAGGGCATAGCGGGATTTCTTATAAGCGTCCGGGTTAGAGTCCCGCTCCTTGAAAGCGGCAGCTCTACCCTTTAGCACAGTGCGGATGTTTCCTGTAATCCATGGCTTCTGGTTGGGGTATGTACGTACGGTCACTGTGGGGACGACATCATCGATGCACTTATTGATGAAGCCAGTGACTGATGTGGTGTACTCCTCAATGCTATCTGAAGAATCCCGGAACATGTTCAGGTCTGTGCTAGCAAAACAGTCCTGTAGCTTAGCATCTGCGTCATCTGACCACTTTTTTATTAACCGAGTCACTGGTGCTTCCTGCTTTAGTTTTTGCTTATAAGCAGGAATCAGGAGGATAGAGTTATGGTCAGATTTGCCAAATGGAGGGCGAGGGAGAGCTTTGTATGCGTCTCTGTGTGTGGAGTAAAGGTGGTCTAGAGGTTTTTTTCCTCTGGTTGCACATTTAACATGCTGGTAGAAATTAGGTAGAACGGATTTAAGTTTCCCTGCATTAAAGTCCCCGGCCACTAGGAGCGCTGCATCTGGATGAGCGTTTTCCTGTTGATTTATGGCCTTATACTGCTCATTCAGTGCAATCTTAATGCCCGCATTGGTTTGTGGTGGTAAATAGACAGCTATGAAAAATATACATGAAAACTCTCTTGGTAAATAGTGTGGTCTACAGCTTATCATAAGATACTCTACCTCAGGCGAGCAAAACCTTGAGACTTCCTTAGTATTTGATTTTGTGCACCAGCTGTTGTTTACAAATATACACAGACCGCCACCCCTTGTCTTACCGGAGTCAGCCGTTCTATCCTGCCGATGTAGCGTATAGCCCGCTAGCTGTATGTTATCCATGTCGTCGTTCAGCCACGACTCTGTGAAACATAAGATATTACAGTTTTTAATGTCCCGTTGGTAGGATAACTGTAATCTTAGGTCATCCAATTTGTTCTCCAATGATTGAAGATTGGCTAATAGGATTGATGGGAGCGGCAGTTTACTCGCTCGCCGTCGGATCCTTACAAGGCACCCCGACCTACGTCCACGTTATCTCCGTCTCTTCCTCATGCGGGGATTTGGGCCTTGTCGGGTGTCTGTAGGATATCCTTCGCGGCCGCCTCGTTGAAGAAAAAATCTTTGTCCAATACAAGGTGAGTAATCGCTGTCCTGATATCCAGAAGCTCTTTTTGGTTATAAGAGACGATGGCAGGAACATTATGTACAAAATAAATTACAAATAACGCGGAAAAACACACATAATAGTACAATTGGTTAGAGGGCTGTAAAACGGCAGCCATCTTCTCCGGCGCCGTAAAGAGCCAGTGTGCTGAGCCAATGTGTACTCTGAGCCAGTGTGCTGTTTATTGTAAGTGTAACTTAAATCATGTGTCAGCTAAATGTTCTCAAACCTTTCTATGCTTTTACGTTTGGACTGTGGTCATGCATTATGGTGCCAATTTAAATTATGCCATGCCAATGTTATTTTTAATCACATTTGTTCAGAAAAAATGAGTGCCTCATTTATCATTCTGTGTATTTATGTTATGTATTTTTCCACAAAGTTCAGATTGCTCAATGGCGTGACTCCAGTGTTTTGTTACAGGAAATTAGTAACATTCCTGTATAAAACACAGATTAGCCATACACTTTCAACCCTTTCTATTTTCACTTTGATTTCTGATCTATAGCATTATGGTCAGTGTAAAGAACTCCCTTTGGCTGCCCCTAAAACAAAGATGTTTCTGCAGCCCACACTGACAACCCCTCCTTCTGGTGCAGAGGTGTCTGGGTGTTGAACTTTTTCACCAGAAACCAGCCCATATATATATAATTAAGTGTATAACATATATGTAGTGAACAAAGTGAAAACCAAATTAAGTAGAGCCTTTAAGTTGTGAATATTGTATTAATATGATCAAGGAACTCAGGGAACAGACAAGACAACAAGATTCAGATTGGGAGACATTCTATCGGCCTTATAAAGGAGAGTTGGCAGAACTACTAAAATTTACAAATGTTATCTTAATATTGATTAATTGAATGAAGATTCTGTGCAAATAATTGTCTTACATGCATGTAAAAATAACTATGATAAAGTGGTCTGACATATCATCACCATCTGTACATTTTATATTCAAAACAAACTCAAATGTACATCTCCTCTTCTCTCCATCTGTATTCTCCACAGTATAACCCCAGAATCTTCAATCTGAAAGTCTGACACAGTTAAGTATCCTGTAACATTGTCCCAGTGTAGGCGGTTTTTCTTTCCCACAATCTCTTTCACCTGCTGAGTTTCAGACTGGGCTGAATGCTGGGCTTCACAGAGTAGATATCTCTTCACAGAGTAGATAACGTGTATCTAGGTATCAACCCACTTGTCACAAAGTAGAGTATGTATTATATACGTAAGCTACAAGATTTAGAGTCTGTTTTTTCCTGTTAAGACCCCCCCAAAATAATTTGTTTTGATCATCCTACATCACTCGTCTTGAAACTAACTGCAGCATTTTCAACCATCTCACTTATCTGCTCATTATCTTTTTAATAAAGCACATTACCTGTTCCTCAACCACTCATCTTTCACTCTACCATCTGGCCTCTACATGACAGATAGACACTGACCACATAATCACAGGAAACCAGAAACATGTTCTGTTTAGAGTGGAGCAGTCTAACTAACCTTTAACATGCAGTGTAAATACATGCCTACTTTGGATGAAATGCGTGGTTGAAAAGCTGATAGGTATTACATTATAGTATATTGGTTGGGCATATCCTGTATAGATAGATACAGTGCATTCGCAAAGTATTCAGACCCCTTGACTTACTCCACATTTTCTTACATTACAGCCTTATTCTAAAATGTATTAAGTAGATAGTTACAGCGTCATAGAAGGAATTGCCCTCAAACTTAGTTGAAATGGGAAACACAAAAAAAGTATATACTGTTCCTGTTATAGTGTGAGAAAAGGAAATAATGGGTGAGAAGGAAAGACATCTTTCAGGGGAAAATACCCTGAAATCAGTTAACAGTCACAGTTACTGTAAATGTGTAGTTTATAATCATTGTTCCACATGTCTGTGAATCAAAACAACCAAGTGTTGTCATACTCTGTAGTTATTGTGCCAGACTGGACTCAATGGACAAATGTTTGATATTTTACATAAATCTTTGCACCTCCAATAAGTAGTATTGATTATAAAGATAGAAGGTTACTTAAGACTTCACTATTATTCTACAATGTAAAAAATAGTAAAAATAAAGAAAACCCTTGAATGAGTAGGTGTGACCAAACTTTTGACTGGTAGTGTATATCGCGACCTTCTAGCAATCCAAAGGTTGTGTGGTCGAGTTGCATCAGTGTTAACTGTAGCATTTTAGCTCACCCATCCCCTCACCATTATTCTAACCTTAACCCAATTCACCTAACCTTTCACGTAAATTATCCTAACTTTTGTTGTTAGTTTTCCTAACCGCTAATGTAAATTCTCCCCATAATTCTCCTTTGTTGTTACAACACAACAAGCAACCTGGTCAATCTACACACAATAACCCATGGTGACTAAATGAAAAAACGTTTGACATGTTTGCACATTTATACAAAATAATAAACAGAAATACCTTATTTACATAAGTATTCAGACCCTTTGCTATGAGACTCAAAATTGAGCTCAGATGCATCCTGTTTTCATTGATCATCCTTCAGATGTTTCTACAACTTGATTGGAGTCCACCTGTGGTAAATTCAATTGATTGGACATGATTTGGAAAAGCACACACCTGTCTACATAAGGTCCCACAGTTGACAGCGTATGTCCGAGCAAAAACCAAGCCATGAGGTCGAAGGAATTGTCCGTAGAGCTCCGAGACAGGATTGTGTCGAGGCACAGATATGGGGAAGGGTACCAAAACATTTCTGCAGCATTGCAGGTCCCCAAGAACACAGGGCCCTCTCTCATTAAATGGAAGAAGTTTGGAACCTCCAAAGCTCGTCCTAGAGCTGGCCGCCCAGCCAAACTGAGCAATTGGGGGAGAAGGGCCTTGGTAAGGGAAGTGACCAAGAACCCTAGGTCACTCTGACAGAGCTCCAGAGTTCCTCTGTGGAGATTGGAGAACCTTCCAGAAAGATAACCATCAATGCTGTACTCCGCCAATCAGGCCTTTATTGTAGAGTGGCCAGATGGATGCCACTCCTCAGTAAAAAGCACATGACAGCCCGCTTGGAGTTTGCCAAAAGGCACCTTAATTACTCTCAGACCATGAGAAAAAAGATTGAACTCTTTGGCCTGAATGCCAAGTGTCACGTCTGGAGGAAACCTGGCACCATCTACAGTGAAGCATGGTGGTGGCAGCATCATGATGTGGGGATGTTTTTCAGTGGCAGGGACTAGGAGATTAGTCAGCATCGAGGGAAAGATGAACAGAGCAAAGTACAGAGAGATCCTTGATGAAAACCTGATCCAGAGCGCTCAGGACCTCAGACTGGGACGAAGGTTCACCTTCCAACAGGACAACGAGCACACAGCCAAGACAATGCAGGAGTGTCTTCGGTACGAGTCTCAATGTCCTTGAGCTGCCCAGCCAGAGCATGGACTTCATCAAACATCTCTGGAGATATCTGAAAATAGCTGTGCAGCGACGCTCCCCATCCAACTTGACAAAGCTTGTGAGGTTCTGCAGAGAAGAATGGGAGAAACTCTCCAAATACAGGTGTGCCAAGCTTGTAGCATCATGCCCAAGAAGACTCAAGGCTGTAATCGCTGCCAAAGGTCCTTCAACAAAGTACTGAGTAAAGGGTCTGAATACTTATGTAATTGTGATATTTCCGTTTTTGTTTTGTTTTTTACATTTGCAAAAATGTCTAAACCAGTTTTTGCTTCATCCTTATGGGGTATTGTGTGTAGATTAATTTTAGAATAAGGCTGTAACATAACAAAATGTTGGAAAAAGTCAAGCGGTCTGAATACTTTCTGAATGCACTGTACATCCTCCAAGATGTATGATAATTTACATCATCCAATTCGTAAGAACTATGATACCGTCCTCTAATTCGTGTGATATTGTACAAACGCTATTCCATTCATAATGTAATTGAACATAGATTACTTTATCATACTAAATGGTGGGGAACATTTTTATATAGTAATCTTACGAATTCCCCTGAAGCCATGTTGCAGATATTTTGCAGACCACAACCTGTAATAGCGTCCTTCTCCCATGAAAGAGCTCTATTTAATACCCCATTTACCTCTATCTTTATATATCTCCCTGTCTTGCTCTCTCTCCAACAGAAATAAAGACAGAAATGGTTTGCAGTGATGCAAATTAAACACACTGTTTCAATACAACACACCAAAAACCTGTAGTTAAAATAGTCGGAAACATAAATGTTACAATGAAATTAATTAAATTAAAGTCTGTATCTACTCAACCTCTGCACCATCTTTCTTATATCAGCATAAATAGATCATTAATGGGCTCCAGAGTGGCGCAGTGGTCTAAGGCACTGCATCTCAGTGCTTGAAGCGTCACTACAGACCCCCTGGTTTCGATTCAAGGCTGTATTTTACATTTTAGTCATTTAGCAGACGCTCTTATCCAGAGCGACTTACAGTTAGTGAATACATATATATATTTTTTTTATACTGCCCCCCCCGTGGGAATCAAACCCACAACCCTGGCGTTGCAAACGCCATGCTCTATCAACTGAGCTACATCCCTGCCGGCCATTCCCTCCCCTACCCTGGACGACGCTGGGCCAATTGTGCGCCGCCCATGAGTCTCCCGGTCGCGGCCGGCTGCGACAGAGCCTGGATTCAAACCAGGATCTCTAGTGGCACAGTTAGCACTGCGATGCAGTGCCTTAGACCACTGCGCCACTCAGGAGTAACTGTATCACAACCGCCCGTGATTGGGGGTCCCATAGGGCGGCGCACAATTGGCCCAGCGTCGTCCGGGTTTGGCCGGTGTAGGCCGTCATTGAAAATAAGAATTTGTTCTTAACTGACTTGCATAGTTAAATAAAGGTTGAAACAAATTATTACATGACTGACAAAATGAATTAGTTATTTATTAATTATGTTTTGGGGGGGAATATGGAAAACCCTTTCCCCAGATGTTGAATAGGACACATGACTGACTGCAAGACTAATTCCCCTATCTGGACTAGGACTACCCTAATTTACATTTACGTCATTTAGCAGACGCTCTTATCCAGAGCGACTTACAAATTGGTGCATTCACCCTATAGCCAGTGGGATAACCACTTTACAATTTTTTTTTATTTTTTTTTTTGGGGGGGGTAGAAGGATTACTTTATCCTATCCCAGGTATTCCTTAAAGAGGTGGGGTTTCAAATGTCTCCGGAAGGTGGTGAGTGACTCCGCTGTCCTGGCGTCGTGAGGGAGCTTGTTCCACCATTGGGGTGCCAGAGCAGCGAACAGTTTTGACTGGGCTGAGCGGGAACTATGCTTCCGCAGAGGAAGGGGAGCCAGCAGGCCAGAGGTGGATGAACGCAATGCCCTCGTTTGGGTGTAGGGACTGATCAGAGCCTGAAGGTACAGAGGTGCCGTTCCCCTCACAGCTCCATAGGCAAGCACCATGGTCTTGTAACAGATGCGAGCTTCAACTGGAAGCCAGTGGAGTGTGCGGAGGAGCGGGGTGACGTGAGAGAACTTGGGAAGGTTGAACACCAGACGGGCTGTGGCATTCTGGATGAGTTGTAGGGGTTTAATGGCACAGGCAGGGAGGCCAGCCAACAGCGAGTTGCAGTAATCCAGACGGGAGATGACAAGTGCCTGGATTAGGACCTGTGCCGCTTCCTGTGTAAGGCAGGGTCGTACTCTCCGAATGTTGTAGAGCATGAACCTGCAGGATCGGGTCACCGCCTTGATGTTAGCGGAGAACGACAGGGTGTTGTCCAGGGTCACGCCAAGGCTCTTCGCACTCTGGGAGGAGGACACAATGGAGTTGTCAACCGTGATGGCGAGATCATGGAACGGGCAGTCCTTCCCCGGGAGGAAGAGCAGCTCCGTCTTGCCAAGGTTCAGCTTGAGGTGGTGATCCGTCATCCATACTGATATGTCTGCCAGACATGCAGAGATGCGATTCGCCACCTGGTTATCAGAAGGGGGAAAGGAGAAGATTAGTTGTGTATCGTCAGCGTAGCAATGATAGGAGAGGCCATGTGAGGATATGACAGAGCCAAGTGACTTGGTGTATACGGAGAATAGGAGAGGGCCTAGAACTGAGCCCTGGGGGACACCAGTGGTGAGAGCACGTGGTGTGGAGACAGCTTCTCGCCACGCCACTTGGTAGGAGCGACCGGTCAGGTAGGACGCAATCCAGGAGTGAGCCGCGCCGGAGATGCCCAGCTCGGAGAGGGTGGAGAGGAGGATCTGATGGTTCACAGTATCAAAGGCAGCAGACAGGTCTAGAAGGACAAGAGCAGAGGAGAGAGAGTTAGCTTTAGCAGTGCGGAGAGCCTCCGTGACACAGAGAAGAGCAGTCTCAGTTGAATGACCAGTCCTGAAACCTGACTGGTTTGGATCAAGAAGGTCATTCTGAGAGAGATAGCAAGAGAGATGCCTATGCAATGTCCTTTCATTTTAATTATATTATTAGGACATACAGGACTACATTTAAGTTTTATGTGTAGCGGTAAAATAGGCTTCTGGTATGTTGAGCACAAATAGTTGCTCTAACATAATTTCCATCATGTTAGGCTTTTATTTTACACAATTTATATAAAATCAGTCAGATTTATAGCAATCAATAAACCAAATGCACATGATTTAAGTAAATAAAAGTAAACATAGGCCTACATACCAACAAGACATACCAGCCTCAACTTAAGTTTAGCCCTCCATAGCGGGTCCTAATGGTTAGGACCTTACAGGTGCACGTGAGATCTCAACAGACCTGGTCTCACCACCAACCTCTCTCTCCCTCTGGAGGTAGAGAGAGAACATTACAACTCCATTTACAGCTGTGTAGCTGCCGACCCTGTCAGTAACCAGACCATCACCGTCAACATCACTACACCCTGTGAAAATGGAGACCCGGGAGATGAGGAAGGTAAGATCAACCATTATCCTTTATTGCCATCAGCTCTGAGCTCAATAAACTATTGTATAAATCTCCTTTGAGAGGAAGGCTTAGTAGGCTTGTTGTATTGTGATTAACCTGAGCTTAGATTGGTCAAGAGCACCTTCTATTGGAGAAAATTTAGAATTTCACTGTGAACTTATACAATTATTTACTTGCACTTGTGGACCCCAGGAATAATATCTGCTGATGCTTCAACAGTTAATGGGGATCCGAATAAAATAAAATAAAATAAAAACTGTTTGCGGTTTGCATAACCTTGTATGCTTCTGTGCTCTATTATGGGAGGTACACTTTATTGCATTTGTTTTTCACCCACACAACACCACACAACAAAGATGAGAGACATGGATGAAGATACTATATTCTTATCCCAGCAGCCTTTGTGGTGTTCCCAGGAATCTTTGCAGTGTTCTTCAAAGGACAAAAGGCCATTTTAAAACCGTCCCGCAACTCCTGCATTGTCTACAGACATCCCCCAAATCAGCTTTTGTCAACAAGGTTTGGCCTTTGGCCCAATTTTTTCTGAGCTAATAGTGGATAAGAGTATAGTATCTTCATCCATGTCTCTAATTAGTATATAATATTAACATAATTAATTGGCCTACACTACAACTTGAACATGTTTAAAACATCTGGTTAGTACATAATACATTCAGTGACAATAACATGATCATTTTGATCGGAATAAGTTAATAAAATCATAATTTCTTTATTCAATTATTATTTTTGTCTTTCTCTGTGCGTTGATTGGTGGGGGAAACAGTTGTACGTAGTCTACTGTAGGCTACACTACTTTGTTTAATGTCAACATTTGTTCAGAACAATTAGATTGATAGCAAGAGAAAAGTATATAAAGAAAGGTGGATAAAAGGTTTCAGGGAAGAATGTACAGAGATATGGGTTAATCTTTCCATCTTTTCCCAATGCCAAGCCAGTGTGTTTTATTTGCAATGAAAATATCGCAGTTTGTATTATTTGCAATCTCAGACTCAATCTCAGACTCAATCTCATTATGAATCTAAGCATAGAAATTTCAAAGTGGACTTCCTGCCCCAGACAGAGGCCTGATTGAAAAATATTTTATGAGCGTAATCAAATAAAAATTATCTTATTGTCACTGAATTTATTATGTACTAATCAGATGTGTTAAACATGTTCAATTTGTAGTGTAGGCTAATTAATTGTGCTAATATTATATACTTATTATGTTCTGGCCCGCCGACTATTGGCTCAAAAAAAAATTGTCCCGAGGCAAACCTATTTGACAGACCCTACTCTAAAGGATGTAGAATTTGAGTTTGAGTGACAGGAAGTAGAATTTATCTCAGTGCAATCAAAGATTCTCTATTATATTGACAAGATAGTCAAGTGACTGCTCTAACAATGGAAATACTTGTCCTAAAAGATGGAAGGCAGGCGGGAGAAGGCGAGATCATGTGAGACCATTCTATCCAATGAGAGGGCAGACACGTTGTGAACAACAGGCCATAGAGATAGATAGAGGACTCATATTTGTATCTGTGCTATTAAAGCGTCAGTGAGAGCATGGGCAGTGCCATTGAGGCTGTCTCCATTTTATAGTAGACAGTTTTCTTCTTCTTCATTGGCTGATTGCTCCCATCCCAGTTGACTACTTTAAAATGGTTGAAGCCCTCAATGGCAATGTCCATGAGAAAACAGGTTATATCCATGATAAGTCCCGTGTAGCTCAGTTGGTAGAGCACGGCGCTTGCATCGCCAGGGTTGTGGGTTCGATTCCCACGGGGGGCCAGTATGAAAAAAAAAGTTTAAAAAATGTATGCACTCACTAACTGTAAGTTGCTCTGGATAAGAGCGTCTGCTAAATGACTTAAATGTAATAAGTCCTCTATATCTATGACAACAGGCACAACTCAATGTTTTTTTCAAAGTTGCCGAAATGCCACATGCGTCCACTTATCTCAGTGCATTCATAACAACCTTACCATTACGAATCTTCTATTAGATCAAATAAGCCTCATATAGCAAACTATCAGTACAATTTTGTGTTGACCATTTGAACACTCTCTTTTGACCTTCATAATAACAATTCCTCAATTTGTGGGCTTATCTTCGTGGAAAGATTTGGTGCAGGACAAAACCTCTCGCTTCGCCTCTTCCTCTCTGGTGCAATTCGAACAGTCGCTAAGATTATATTTGGTTGTGATCTTTGCAAAATAACTATTTTGGATGCAGCAGTTGTTAGCTTGAATTCTAACGCTCAGTGATATAGGCTGTACAAAAGCTAGCCAAAGAGTAATTTTACTGGTTGAAGTTGAAGTGTTTTTTAAGTATAATGCAGTTGATTTGCGATGATGACACAACATTTATATTAAGGTATGATGGCGGACTGAACACAGCGGTGCATATCGCCTGAAGATAAAAACTTAATATTCAATATCTGTAAGTTAAATATTTGCACTTCACATACTCAATCTGGATAACAAAACAAATCATACGGCTAGAGAAATGTATCGACAAATATATTTGAAAACAAGCAACACCCAAACATGACGGAGAGTAAACAAGGAGAACCAATCTCCAAAAGAAAACGCGACTCCTCGAGGGATACAGACGACTTATGCTTTTCACCACCGGGACTGGTAAGGGTGGAAACTGATCAGTTAAGTCGATAAGTGACAAACTGGGCATATTTGAATGATATAAAGGATTTGAAGGAGAGCCTCGAGATGAGTGTCGTGTATGAAGATTATGACGTTGTTAATGTTTTAAGTGGAACCAGAGAGGACGTTAATTTTAGTATCAAGAGGGAATGTTTTAGTGTAACACCACATACAACAGACAGGAAGTGTGACGCCCCAGGGGAGACTGGTGATTGGCCAGAAGAGGGAGCCACCCATCTTTTTGCATTGTTTATAAGTAGGGGCTAAACGAAGAAGAAGTCAGAGCGGCCATTGCAATCTGAGGCGTCGCTCTCCGGATGTCATGACATCTGTCACTTATGCTGTAAACGTGTGATATTAATAAAAGCCTCTAATCACAGTGCAGCCTAAGCGGACTCCTTGTTGACAGCAACAGCCACCAACAACAGACACGACAGAATGGGGGCTCGTCCGGGATATTGATTTCATCGTTCTTGGTTCCTTTCCTGAACTCGCGAGGTGACTACTGCCCAAGCCGGCTTTAAAGGTGAGATTACTCGCAAAATTTGGGCATTGGTTATTCCGCTGATTCATGAGAGGGCATTGAAGGTGTACAGTTAAAAGTACTTGGGTCGTTGTTGATGTGCGCTGTTGTGGTCGACTAGGAGTCTGTAATAATATATTCCATTGGTAAACGGCAGGAATTTAGAATTTTAGAGCATAAAACGGTAGGAATTAAGTATTGAAGGTGTACAATTAAAACAGATATGTGCATACATTAGAGCACTGTACCGCTTAAGACCCCGGAGTGGGCCATTTAGAATGGGCCGACAAATTCGCTTACACGATAGAATGTGCAAGTCGGTGTGTTTTTTTAAAGAAAAACTCGGGTTAATGAAATGTATCTGATTGTGATTATTGCTCGACTTTCGTCCGACGGGGGGTTTGCATGGGTGTGATTTCTCGGTGAATTGTCATTAAGTCCACGGTAGCACAAAATGGTAGGGAAATAGACAAAAAGGAATAAGGGCAGTGCAGGATGCTTATTTGTGTGTGGTAGGCCGCAGTTAGCTAAAGGCTAAGGCTAATGTTAATGCTAAATGCTGGAGTGTGGGTCATGCCACATTGTACATAGCGGCTAATGCTAAATGCTAAGGCTAAATGCTAATTGTGTTGCGTGCTACATGCTAACGTATCCTTAGAGGGCCATTGCGATGGATTAAAGCCTCTTAAACTTGTTCGTGTGTGTGGAATTCAGAGTTCTACGCAAATGTGAGCTCTGTTATGTGTAATTGTGTGAGTATAAGGTATAAAATAGTGAAGCTGTAGCGTAATGCTATCGTTCTATTGTCTGGGAATCGTATCATTGAATGCATTTGCGCATGCGTTTAATTTTGCGACACTACACTACAGAAAGGGGGAGTGTATGGCACGAGATTAGGACACGTTTTGTTTTACGGCACTAAACTACAACATGAGGGTATAGTAAAACTACAACACGGGATTGTGGGTAACGTGTCATATTTCTGTGGGGCTGCGTGTCGCAGGGGGAGACAGGGACACAGACGAGGGAACAAAGAGGAGAGATTTTAACACGAATCTTATAGTTTTAAAGAGGCTGGTGTTTGAACATGAAACTATTTGTTGAGATGTAGTGAATTTATAAATTAGATATATGGTGACGGAGTATAATGAATTAAATTAAATGACGGATTAAAATAAAATAAAAATGTTTTTGAGCGATCTATTTAGTCCTGAGTGGATTCTTAGAGCGAATGTGAACGAAGGAATATTGAATATGGTTGAAGTAACTCAGTATTGCATTAACTACTAAAATCTTTTCCTGTGTCTCTGTTCTTTTGTCATATGAGAGCAAAGGAGAGAGAGAGGAGGGGCTAACGTGTGCGTGACGTGACAAGGCGTGACGCGACAGAGGATCGAGTCAAGGGTTTGAGATTGGTCTGGTTACAAATCTTCCCCTACAGGATATTTGATGTTATGACAATTTCACATAGGCTTGGCAAATACATAAAAAATTGCATTTTGGAGGCTATGTGCATCACTTGGGTTAATTGCAGGTGTGTTGGGAATCAAGGACTGACATTATTCTGTAAAATTAAGATGATTAGATGCTGATAGAGCAAGGGGTTATGGGAATTGTAGTAATGGTAGGGTTACAGGCTTTGTTTATGGGTATTGTAGTCTGATGTTGACTACTTGCATTTGATGGGTTGTGGTAAGATAGCCACCACTAATTGATAAATTGGTGACATAGAATGTAGAAATAAAAAATTGGTTTTAATTATTCATAATTTTTAAATTATTTTTAAATTGATTTTTTATTT